GTCAAAAATTAGTCTTTTAGTTTTAATTTTTCCTGATGCTGTATAAGATTAAGAGAACTTTCTAGAAGGGAATATTATTACTTCCACAGACAAGAACTTAATTGCATCTAGGAAAATATAATTATCAGGGCAGCAATACAGAAACACATTTCACTCTATTAGTTCTGACATCAGAAAGCTGATTTGGATTTTCAGTAGTGGCTCATATCTCCTTTTAGAAGCAGCAGGTTTTCATCTTGTTTAACTGGAAAGACAGTTACTCATGAATGCAAGCCTGACACACTGAAACACTCTATTCTAGATGTTTGGTCTAAACAGCTAAAATAGAATAATGAGAACAGATAAATTTCCAATTGATATCTGATGGAAACTCAGACATTCTTTCTGTATGCCAGCTCTCCTGAAACCCATCTTATCATCTTTTTAAAGAATATCCCTGCCCCAAAGTAAGAAAAACTTGGGACTGCAGTCTAATACAAGCCTGCTTGAAGCAGGCTTTACCAATCCTCCAGCAGTGTGCAATGTGGCTGCACAACCCCCTCAGCCTCTTAAGTATCTTCCTATTCATATTACTCTCCATTATGTATATACTAATTGGACAAAGCAACCAGCTACATCTTCTCTTCTTTTAATAAAATGAGTGGACTGACAGATTTCCCACAGCACACCCTATGTGGTAGTGTCTGTACAAATTGCATGCCTAAACATAACTGTACAGTTCAGAGCTGCACATGTGCATGGGATCAGGAGAGCTGAAAGCCCATTGTACCTATCAGAAACATCTCCTAGAACAATGCTAAGTTTCAGAACCACAAACAAGTGATCAGACTTGAATTCTACAGTAAATCCACAGTAATCCTGCTTTGTTTCCTGAACAAACACAAAGCTAGTTCAGGACCTGTGTTCACGCGTTGTACTTCCATCAAACCCAAGTATGCTGTGCAAGTCTCCAACTGTGCAAAATTTCCTTTTTTGAGCAGGCTGTCTGAAGAGACCCAACAGCTGGTAAGGTTTTTCAGATAGCAGTATTAATCAGAAACACACTTTGGTAGGAAGCCAAGTTTAAGAACTACAAAAACAAGAGTCAAGGTTTTATCATCACCTGAATCAATTAAGAACTTTAAAGTAAAAAACCTCTAGCTCCATATTTGTATTAAACGAAATAATAATTTGAAGCAAAGCAGACACTGCTTTTAACTCCTCTTTGGTAAAGAACTTGAGTATTGACATATCCCATCTCACTTCAATTAAGCAATAATTTTCCCAACTTTGTAGTCAGTGTCACTGCGAAGTTAGTATTTAAACAATGTTAACGTTTAAAAAAATGTGTTTACTTGGCAAAGGCACTGGAAAAGCAACAATCTGTTTCACACTTGCATTGGCATAAGTTGGAAATTAAAGTTTATCTAGTGAATAATTTAAACACAGGCTAGAAACAAACAGTTTTTAGTTAAAAATTTTCAAATTCCCTCTCTTCCTCAAATATTTTGGGTTACACAACAAATGCACACTAAGATTTTGCTTTCATTCAGGAAGAGAAATTAGTTCAAAGGACTAATAATTCAGCATTAAAATCACAATGTGCTACCATTAAATTTCAGTGCAGCAGATCCTCATATTTGGATGCAGATAATTTTTTTAGCTACCAGAAAGTAGCTAAATAAACATTTCACAACCTGAACTAGTCACAGAATACTGGTATTTTCCCCAGAAAACCAAGGCAATAATGTCTGGGAAATAAGGGGTTAAATTTTCTGCAACTGAAATAAGAGCTCTAAAAATCAATGTCACTTTAATTAAGCCTGAGCAAACTACATGACCGTGGTTTTGTAGCTGTTGCGTCACAAAACTGAAACTTTGCTAACCAAAATCACAATTCAAACTACTATCTCACAAAGAAACAAAGTGTTTGTAACAATATCTAAATTCTACTCACAATTAGTAGCAACCAGATTATGTTACTATCATATTCTTATTGGTATCACTGGACCCCTTACCAGCATTTCAATCCTTTTAGTTTCTCAGAGTCAACTAAATTCTCAATTTCAGAATAAGAAGTTGCATTCCAGCTTATAGCATCCAAATGTACTTGGAGGCTGAGCCCTTACAATAGAAATGCAGTCATATCATTTATTTCAGAGTGTGCAAATATGTTATTTTGAAACACAGCAACACCAGTGAGAATTAAATTGAACAAGTCAATTACAAGTTCTCCACAGTTCCCTTCTGATTGTTGAAAGACCCTAGAATCCTTGTGGGTGTACATCAGAAGACTGTGTCAGCACTGTCCCTTGAACTCTGCATTTGTAACAGCTTTACTGAGAGCTGCATCATCTGCCTTCCTTCCAAGGTACTGCACCACTACAAAGCACAGCCTTTTCATATGGGTAAATTTAAATCAAATAGCTGGGGAAACTATTAAGTATTATGACCCTTTAGCTCAATAGTGAATTACAATTTGATTTCAACAAGCTAAAAATTAAATCCAGAACTCATTTGTAGCAGACTAACAACTCTTGGGGCAAATAATCCCCAAACCCAAGCAGAAGTACAATAAACTGAAGCCTACTCACCAAGTCTGGTAAAACTCTAACTGGAATTATATAACCTATACCACTTAAACATTAAAGACATCATATGTAAACTTTAGAATATTAATTCCACTTTATATCTCTCAACCTTCTACATGGCGACCCATGATATCTGAACCAAATAGCTTCACGACCACAGCACAGACTGCTAACTTATCTTTAAAAAGAATAACTGCAAAAGCAACTGGCAGAATAACACTATTTACAAGACAACAGCTGAACAGCTGTTATAAGGATGCCTAAGAATAAATACAGCCCACAGGTTAGTGCTAAGAATACAGAGAGCAGCGTGAAACATTTAGATAGGCAGCACAGAGACCCATAAAAACCACACCTTATCCCCTTAGTCACATGAAACATCCATTTCTAATCCTAGCTGAGTAAAGCTTTATGGCTTTAGCAGTAGGCAGTTAGCTGAAGTAGTGTTACTGGTGCCACAGCCTCTTTTGCTACCTGTAGCACATCAGGCAGAGCAGGCACAGCAGCAGCTAAAGACAGACAAGATTTCCCCCTCAATCCCCCTTAGAAAAATATTTCTTTGACAGTAACATACTGCTCATATTGCTCTACAAGGTTCATTTTGCAATGCTGGAATACAGATGGATGTTTCTTTAGCACTATTGGTCCCTTTCTAAAAATTATTCTACATTATTTCATTAATTTCAAACAACAGCTGTATTGGTAACTTGCAATAAACAAAAGGCAATTTTCTCCCCATAAAAAACATGTTTTCCCGAAAGAGGAAACAAATACAAGCCAGACCAGTAACTCCCTTCTCTCAAAAGTGTAAGGGAACTAGCAAGTTAATATTGCACAATTTCTAAAAGTTATATGAATCCTACTGAAATTAGAAGTCAATTGCATTATGTGAATGCAAAAATATATGTTAGTGTAAAACTCTCCAATAAACATTTGTTATCTGGCTACAACAGAATGCTTCAAACACTCAAGAAAAGTCTTAAAAATCCCCCTATATCATATATTAACTACTGGTTCTCTGCCATAATCATTCTCATTTCCACTCTCTTTTCATTTCATGTCCTTTGCACTGCTCAGGACCACAGATACTGAGGGAAAGTTACCTCTTCTATCCCTCACGCTGTCATCTGAGCTACATGGATTCTGAAGAAAACATGTACAATACAGATGGACAATACTTAATAAATTCTACAAGTACTGTAAGATTTCACTACTGAAGCTTCATGGGCTTTCCTTCATCACTCTCTTTAAGTTAAACAAGACAGATCAGTAAGGCCTAATCTGCTGCCCTCCCTGCTAGGAAGGTACTTAAGAAAAAATTCCAAGACACCTGAAACAATTGATGTCTCACCTTACCCTTTCATCAAACAAAGAAAGCTGAGAGTGTCAGCAGAAGATACAGCACGAATACTTTAAACCATAATAAACCTAGCTTGTTCAATGACTACCTCACAGGTATAGTTTTAAATGGCCACACAAGGGGCCAAGTCAAACACAGCTTACCTTATCAGCATAATTAATTACATACTTAATATAAAATTAAGTTTTAGGGAAGTCTGCTTTAATCATTCCTACATAACTAGTCAACTGCAGCATTCACTACGGCCAAATTCTGACCCAAAGCCAGGAAGCTGCCCCAGTTTCCCTGAGAAAACGGGCACAAAGTCAGCCTGGCGCCACTTGCACAGCTCAGCCAGGGCGCAAAGCGAGGCTGCCACGCAAGGGGCTGCTACAAGATCCCTGACTAGCTGGGACGAGAAACGCTGGCAGGAGAAAATTGGCCAGGCAGGAGAAAGGAAGGCAACGACAAATAGGACGGTTCTTGTTCGACACGCAGAACTGTCAGGCCTCAACACTGAGTTAACACTTTTCTCCCTTGCGGGGAGGCTGGGACTTGGCTCCCGCCTGCCCCTTGCCCGAGGGCAGGTGCCGCAGGGGCCAAAGGGTGGCAGCTGCCGCCCGGCCGGGCGAGCCCGGGGCGGAGGAGAGCGGCCCCAGGCGACCTGTAGCGCCCGGGTCACTCGAGGACACGCAGATATCGGTTACGCAAACCACAGAGCGGTTTTCGCCCGGCTCCGCCCGTGGGCCCCGGGGCGGCCACAGACCCGCTTGGCTCCCCGAGCCCAGTCCCTCTCTGCCTCGGCCGGCCCGCGGGGCCACGGCAGGTGAGCGGCCCCGCACCGGGCGCCGCCGAGGGACGGGGCGGCCGCCGCGCAGACTCACGGGTGATCCGACGAGCGGCGCCGGGCACCCCGCGGGATGGCAGCGCCCTCCCGGTCAGCTGGCGGAGGGGCAACCCCGGGAAAAGCGGGGACTGCGAGAGCTGCCCTCGGAAAGCGCCGCTCCGCGCCGCTCCCCCTCCTTCCGCCCGTGCCTCCTCGCAGGCCGGGCCCGCGGCGCACCTGTCAGCGGCAGCCGCCCCTCCCTTACCTGCCGCCGCCGCCACCGCCCCCGGCCCGCCCGCGCAGCGGCGCTGGGTCCGCGCGCTCCGTCCGCGCGGCAGCCGGCGGCGCAGCGCGAGGCACCGGCTCCAACCGGCGCGTCTGGGGCGGGCCCCGCCGCTGTCACGTTACCGCCCGCGCAGCCAATGGGGCGCAGCCGGCGGCGCCGCTGACGGGCCGGGGCGGGGGAGCTGCGGCGGACAAAAGCGCCGCGCTCGGCCCTGGCCCGGCCCCGCCGCTCACCTGCGGAGCCGCCTGACCGCCCCTGCCGGCGGAGCGGGGAGCTCCCGGCCGCCTTGGAGCCCCTCGGTGCGGCACTGCGGCCGTGCCGGCCCGCAGGCAGCAGCCCCTCCTCTGCGTGCCGGCGTTTAAATAACCCGAGCCGTTGGAAGAGGTGGAGGAAGTGAGAAAGCCATTGTCGCCGGCCGTTAGCAAATAAAAATAGACACGGTGACACTCGCGAAATGCAAAATTTAATCCCACCGCAGGCTTCGGCTGGGCTGGGGTGCGGATTCCGGAGCGGCCCCGACCCCCGCTGGGGGCGGGCGGAAGGAGCGGGCCCGGGGATGCTGGGGGGCGATGCCAGGGATGCTGGGGAGCGATGCCGGGGATGCTGGGGAGCGGTACCGGGGATGCTGGGGAGCGGTACCGGGGATGCTGGGGAGCGGTACCGCGCGGGTGCGTTCGGGATGAGCTCCTGGCCCAGCCGCGGCACCGCCGCTGCGAATGTCCTGCTTGCACCGGGGGTCTCCTTCCGGGGCCAGGGACACCCAGCGCCGGCAGCCCTTTCTGACAGGAACAGTCAAAAATCTGTGCGGCCAGACTCTTCTATGGCTCTTAGTTCCACTAAAACTCTGATACCGATATTATAAAGTTCACAAATAAACCCAACGTTTTCTAAAAGTCATAATTCATTTCACTTTCCTGCACCTCCTCCAACAGGCAGTGAAGCTCCCTTCTCCGGATGTCTGAAGAGGCCAGTTCTGCTGGGCAAAGGCATGAAAGTCTGAAGGAAAATTTTGATTCCTACCTAGATTTCTACAAAAACTGGGACAAATGGGCTCTGTCTCCCTCCTCTTACTCATGCAAACAGCTCACTCTATTCAAGTAATTGTCCTGACATATTTTCGTTATTAGTAACTCCTTTGCAAGGACTTAGTCTAAACTCCATTTACAGTATAATTACACTCCTTACACTGGCTCTGTTATGGTAATGTTTATTCTCTGTCCAGTCATCAATTTCGAGGGAAAAGGGACTATTTTCAAAATGCTTTTCCTCCGTGAAACACAAAAATCCTTTTCCCTGCAGCTGTACAAAACCACCTTCATCTTAAATAGCAAAGACACTAAATTTTACAAAAGCCAACAATTTCCAAATTGTATTCACAGTTTTCAAATATGTATTCAGTACACATTTAGCTAGTAGTGTTAGTTTCAATTTAAAAGAGACATCATACTTTTGAGGAAGCACAAGCATTGCACTGGAGCCAAAAGTGAAACTAATTAAAACAAAAGGGAGCCTCGCTTTTTAATCCAAACTTGTAGAAATACCAATGCAGAGGTGTGTTGAAAAAAAAGACCGTTCATTTTTCTAGTTTGCAGTCCCATTGGTAGCCTAGCAGGAAATGTATTTGTTTTAGGCTGACAGTTTCTACTTAGGCTATGTATGCTGATAGTAATCTAACCTCAGAGAAACAGCTCCTGTCACCACAAAGATGTCAACATCGTGGCATTGTCTGCAATTACCGCTCCAAGAGTCCTTGGTGAGGTTTGGTAAACAGCAGAGAGCAGGCCAGTCTCTTCCCAGGAGACCAATTCCCTTTTGTCTTATGATCTGCCGCCTCCTTAGCTGGCTGTATCAGCGAGACAAATTTTCTGCTCTATTAGGGTTTCCCTGAGGAATTATTTAATCCATTTTCCAGGGACTATTTCCCCCATGCGTGAGCAAAATAAATAAAAGTACATCTTGTTTTATAATCTTGCTTTCTACTAACACAAAAATGAAAAGTCTTTCTCAAGGATCTGCCATATTTTCTTTTTGTCAGCAATATACTAGGAAGACAAATTCATGTTTAATTAAATTATAAAACCAAGGACTATTTGCACTAAGAATCAAAGTATTGAATTAAGTCAGAACAAGGAAGTTAATGTTCATAAGGTTCATCATTGCTTGAGCAGAAGATTGCAGCACAATTATCTAGATTTAGTTCTTTACTCTGATACTGAGTAGTTCATAGGGAAGCACAAGGGGAGGACTCAGCCCGTCAGTCACACCACACCAATCTCTGAGCAAAGGAAATATTTTGTTAACATCTTACTCAAAACCAGCCCTGTTTTATCCATGCAGCTACTCACTGTACACCCAGCCAATCAAGCTCATCTTTGAAGTTAGCTTAGAGACACTTATTTCAGGATGAATTTCTTCCAGTCTTTTTCAAGCAACATTATCTGGAAAATGTTCTTCAAGTTCCAACACCCATTCTATTTGTTTTTGACAGCCATATATAAGATACTGAAAAACAACAGCTTGATAATACTGTGAAAGTTGAGCTTCCTTTCACACATCCTGCCATCCCCTGATCTTTTTTAACTGCTATTTAAATGTCAGAAACACAACTTTGGATATATATATAAAAAAAATAACATTTTAAAATGTGCTCAGTGTGAGTATTGGCTATCCAGAGCATCTGCCTCAACCCCTTCACTTGTACAATTTTGGGAAATTCCATATAATAAGAAAGGGAAAGCTATATAGGAAAGTGCTGTATATTTTAAAAGGCAATACAGTAAAAATTTCACTTTTAAATATCTTCTATTGAAAATTCTTTTTAATATTACAGAGATGATATTTCTCTTGTCTTTTAACCCTCCAGCAGTGCTTGGGGTTGCAGGAGCAGCAGCATCTTGATCAGTGATCATGCTGGCAGCAGTATCTGAAGCTGAGCCTGCTCTGTAAATAAAGCACCCTATGACAACTTGCCTTGTGATCACCAAGTGAGTTTCTGCCTATCTGATTCTCAGGATCTTGTTTTTCCATATGAAAGGCTACAGCTGCATGTTTAGCTGAAGCATGAATTATCGGACCACAACTCTTTAACTCCTAAAACTCCATACTACCATTTATTCTCCTTAAGAGAATAAAAAACATGTAAGCTTCATAGTTATAGATATAATTTAATTTAATTTCCTGGCACATCCTGATTATTATCTCACTCGCTCCTTCTGGCATTTGCTAAAGCTTCTTTGTCCTCTACTGACAATTTATAAATCACATGTTCCATGCGCTCCAGATCATTGATTCCTGGTGCACTAACGTGGCTCGCAGTGACCAACAAAGGCTCTCCTGCAGGGCGGGTCTTTCAGAACAACGCTTCCCTCTGCCGGACCTGTGGGCAGCCACAGCTCTGCCTGCCCGGGGGGACCTGCGCGCCTTCCTCTGCCTCTCGCTCCGACAAGAGCCCTGCTCCTCCCGGACTGCGCGGGACAGTGCGAAACTAGCAAAGCTCAAAATAATTCATCAGATGAATAGGATAATCATAAAAATTTCATCGACTATCAACTGGACAGAAATATCAATAGACTTTCTTCTCAAGACAGGAGTATCTCAAAGCCATAGATAACGTGAAAACTGGGAGTCTCAGGGTCTGACATTTCATATTCCCTCCAAAACCCTGACTGCTTTATGCCAGATGAAATCAGAACAATATTTAAAAATACATTTTACCCAAATCATCAGGTATTTATTTCTTTATAGGGCCATGCAAAGAAAAAAAACTTTAAAAGGACAGTTAAGAATTGCCTGCATCTCTTGTGACTCTATGAAAACTAAGATGGTGCTACAGTGAATTTTAATTAAATGCCACGCTTCCTACCTGGCCATCTCTTCCAAACTGCTTGCAATAACCAGAGTATGACATTTTACAGGGGGGTTGATGGAAGCTACTATATTCAGATACAGCTGTCTTGCCTTCAAGTCATTAATGGGTTGGAATATTGTCCTCAGCTGATGATGTGTTAGAAGGAAGGGGAGAAAAACTGCAGAGATACGTGAGTAAGATTGTGCTTAATTCTTGCCCTTCACAAGGACAGGAACTGGTCCCAGTGAAGTACTACACATGCTCTTAAATCATTTGTAAGAACACCACTGAAAAACATAATTAAGCATTTTACTGAACAAAGATTCTGTTCACATACTCTGCTGAATGAAGGCTTTTAGTGGACTTCAAAACATAGGAAGAAGATGAGTAAGCTGAAGTTAGAAGGAGTAGAAAATACAGATGTAATTCTAAAACAAAATTCCCTGTTAGTGAAATTTACTTTGAAAAGGCAGACTATGTTATTTAATGTCATCACTGTTCCTGTACTTGTTAGGCCTCAGACATGCAGCCCTGATTTCAACTGGGACAGCCCAAGAAGGTCACTCCCTTCAAGTTTTCTATTGTTGCTGATTATAGTCCCCAGCTAATTTTTCATCAGAAGTTGCTGCTGCCTCAGATCTGCAGCCTGATTTCGGTGTGATGTCGCTCCCCACTTTGGGGTTATCCAAACTAAGTGGATCAGTTAAACACTTTTATGTACAAGGTTTCACTTTGCATCATTTTGAAACACTCAGTTTGGGATCTACCAGCATAGGCTCTTTCCCGTTTAACTTGCCCTTACAAAAACCCAGAATCTCCTCCTCACCTTGTAGTCTCGGATCCTCAGGGAATCTGTCAGATCAAAAGACCAACCAAAGACAAATTATTTGTCTTTCAGCACACATTTAATCTGGATCATCTCCTTGTTCCCTTCAGTCTTCTTTCTGAATGTGTATTTTGAGGTTGTTCAGTGATTTATCTGGAAAAATTATCCCAAATATCCCTCCAGAGAGTGTACACATCAGTTCTCTACTATTTGAAGCCCATGCCAGAAAAAAAGCTTGACTTGAGGAACCCATAAGAAAAAAATGTCTCTGCTACATCTCAACAGAAACTTGCTTTAAGTTTTCTAGAGAGCATGGGAAAAATAAGACAAGAAGGTCTGTTACACCAAAGTATCTTCACCTCAATTCAAATACAAGGAAGGTACCTCTGGAATTTGTCAGGAAGTACTTCCATTGTGATACCTTCTTTCATTTTTATTAATGGCATTATTCTACAGGGGGGAAAAGCTAATTTTGTCCGCAAACCCTTACAATATAAAAATATTTAATTTTATAATGAAGTCAAATGTACATAGACACAATATATGATCAGTATTGGCGGTATGAAAAATATCCAAATAATAAATTAATTGTTTGTGGATACTGCTAAGAAATGCTAGATCTTTCCAACACCTGCTTCACTCTGCAGTTGCATTCCATTTTCTTTCTCATACTTTCATTATAAATGTATGAGGTCATTTAAAATTGGACTCCTCTCAGCACCTTCTAAGATTAGATCTTTAGAGGCAATAAAGCAAGTATAATCTGAATTCCAGGATCACATTAATTGCCATTATGCCTTTTTTAAAACAATGCCAAGCTTATAGAGTAACTACTATCTGATAAGCAAATTGTAACAGTGCAGCCTACCAGGAAAGAAAAGAAAAACTCATTTTTTAATGAGAATCAAAATAAATGCTTACAGCACAACCTGTTATGGGGAGTTCCTTGGCATATATTTGGAATGTTTAATCACAAAACAATGTAGTCAGATATGTGTCATACAGCTCACCCCAAATGACTGAGAAAACCTATGCATTTGTTTAATATTCCATACTCTGAGTAATACGGGAAATTCTCACTGAAGTATTTCCAGCTTCCTAGAATTCCCTTATGCAATCCACTGTTAGTCACACAGTGTGGGAGCAGAGTCACATCCTCTTCTCCAATCCAGATGCTGGCAGGACTCAGCCTTTAGGAATAAAGCTGGGCTTGAGAGATATGTGGGCTGTACTTCTTCATCTGTATTATCCTGCATTCTTTCCAAGATGGCACACTAATTCCTCATCTCCTCAAATAAGGATTTGCAAAAGACAGGATTCACGTTCTTTCTGGAGCAGGGTTTGCAGCCACAACATGGCAGACTGTGAAGTGGCAGCAGGACCATGGGCTGGGGGTAAGGATGGTCCCTCCCACCCAAGAGACTCCAAATTATCCATGGCTGAGAGGAGTGTGGGTGTCCTGCCTCACCCACTGCACAGGCATGGGTACAGGACACTGAGCTGCTGCAGACACCAGCCTGCCTTTCTGTGCTTTTGCTTGAAAAGCATAGCTGTGCAATTCTGAGGGAGCCAGGCTATAGAGGAAGACACTAAGAAGAGGAATTGTGAGAAAAGAGATTCTCTCATCTGCTGTCCAGTTGATTTTGTAATGAGAAAAATAGGCTTTTGTCCATTTCTTGTTAGTAAACAAGTGCGTGACAAAGCCTTGTATGTACCATCAGTAATTAAATGCTTTTTCTTGTTGATGAAAAAAATCTTTAGGGCCTTAAATTCATATGAAAAATAAATTACCACATATACCTGCCTTTTGGAACTGCCACATATAAGGTTTTATTTTTATGACTTGTGTAAAACCACTTTGGAAAGTGTTGGCTATATGCCAAGGGAAAGCTGATTTAAATTTTATGTGTTTCATTTCTATTTTGATTTGACAAGATACAGATTTATTAGAGTCCTATCTACTGCAGCTAGGGCAGAAAACTCTGACAAAACACAGCTGAAGTCAGCTGATTTTTTATGGACTGTTAATAGTGTGCTTGGGCACCCAAATTCTGCCAAGTAATTTTGTCCTCTTCAATTGAACTGCCTCACTAATCAGTTTTGAAGTATAGAAACTCCTGACCTCCTTTCCTCTTAAAAAAAAAAAAAATTGAGCTTGATTATATAAAAAGAAATTAGACTAAAAATACACTAATTCTTACTTCCAATGAGAATATCTTAAGCTGCCATGGTAGACTTCTTTCAAAAATTGAGGAGGCATTATTAAGGAGTTACAAAATGAGTGAGATGCTTCCAAACTGAACCTCAGTACAAGATACTTGGAGTCCTTAAAAAAGGTCAGGAAAGTTAAATTTGGGTGATGGCAAAGTTACTTTTAAAATATAGAAATAGATACTGTTTTTATGTATGAAAGACAAATCTAAAAAAGCAAATGCCTCACCACACCTAAATTTATTACTTTAGCTGAGCCCTGGGTTTCAGGACTGATTTAATTTTATGAAAACTGTTAAATGCTGTACTCATCAGACGATGTATTTAATCATTAGGGTCAGTGCTCCTGTTTTCCCTGCTGTGCCAGAACTGGTAAAATTCTCTTAAGTTAGTGATCTTTGAAGATGAAATTTTGGACCCTCACACTGCTCAAAGTGTAGGAAGGCTGCACTGCTTACTCAGTTTCTCTAACACTGATGAGACAGGCATCCTTTGAAAAATTGCTGCTGCACATGGGTAGCAACAACAATTTTCATAGTTGTCCACAGCTACAGCAGACTTTGATTGTTGCAGAAGTTGGACCTCTTATCTGGTTTTCATATTACTTCCATTGAAATTTAAACCAAAACTGTTGCACCAGAGGCTACAGAATTGTAACTAAATGAGCAGACACTGCTGTCTTTGCCACGTTAGTTAAACTGCAGTGGATGCCATTAACTCACATGCAGAAAAGATTCTGTCACACCTACAAGAGTCACAGTCTTGCAAGAGAGGAAATGTCGGTGCCAGTTGGAGCAGACAAGACTCAAAGGCTCCTGTACTCCAACAGACTATCTCTGCTGATCTGGTAAACACTGGGCAGCACGGGGGGTAAGAACTCAAGCAGTGCTTGTTTCATCATCTGAGCATGAATCAGGAGACTTTTACCAACATCCCTTCAGCTGTCTGTGTCATGGGCCTAGAGTGGACAGGATGATGCACAGGCCTGGAGAGAATCACAGTTCATGGATTACCCCTTGACATCTGCTTTGTACACAAATCTCTGAAAAATACATGCATCAATGGAACTAAAGGCCAATGGTAGGCTAAAGTTTCTTTTTTCCCTTTTTGAAGCGCCTCATGACATAGCAGAGGTTGGGATCTGCTGCCCTCCAGTGCATGCTTGCAGATGTCCTCTTTAGAGACCACGAGAATTCTCAAGAAGCATTACAAACAAAAAAAAAGTGTTAAATTTTTTGTGTGTCTTATTTAGGACCTAAAATAATTGCTAGGACTTGTTTCTTAATTTTGCTGTATTGTTCTGGCCTTGTCAGAGTATTTCTACATCCAAGTAGAGTGTTCTAGTTTGTTCTGTGAAATTGGTTCTCTTCAATCAGCTCTTACTCTTTCACTTTCTATGAATATACACAATGATTATATACATAACACAATACATATGGTAATTATATGGAAATAGTGTATATATCCCATTTTATATCTGCATTCTGCCTGTAATTGTTATCTTTGTGATACTTACTGACACATCAGAGAACTTTCTAGTATCCACATTAAAAGGAAACAATAAAGACTTGGTATAAAAAGCATTTTATCACTGGCTTGTCCAGTTCTTTCAAAAATATTTATCTGTATTATTGAACATTTTTGAACAAGAAATGTATTTGACACTATGTCATGCCAGGCCCTTGTAAAATCTGATTCATGGGTTCTTTCAGCTCTGCAGAATCACAATGGCACTTAGCATAAAAAATTGCTTGAAGTTATATGGCCTTTCTCTTAAACAGTGATGTGTAATGATGTAAATGATCAGTACAATGGTGTTGATATTAAGGGTTTTATAACCAGTTTTATAAACATTTATAAGAGCAGGAAAAGTAGGCTGTAAAGACATTGCAAATATATATATTTCTAACTTAGTAATCAAATTTGGTGACAATGAGAGGTTGATTAAAGGGAGCTTTTTAATTTACAAGTTGGGTAAGTCTCTGTCCTGATTGTGCAGGGAAACCTTAAAAATGCAGATTCTGTGAGTTTATTGAATACCTTAAGATATCTGGAAAATCTCATTCTCTTTATAAGTGGTTAACTTAGGCGTAATTTCCTACGATTTTGACACTTTATTCCCTCCAGAAAGGCCAAAGCCCGAGAAAGGTAACCAGTTAGCCCAGTTTTCCCAAGAAAGCGCCCAGTTTTATGATGTTTGGGAGATGCTACGGACATGTGTATGTGCAGCTCCATAACGTACCGGGGAGAGACTTTTCTAAGCCATGGTGCTGCTCCGCACTGCGCGCAGTCCTCTCGCCCTCGGCAGCTCCCCACACGCGCGGCGGGACGGGCGGGACGGGCGGAGCCGGCCCCGGACTGGAGGAACGGGAGGGATGGGCGCTCTCCGGCCCTCGGACTGGAGGAACGGGAGGGATGGGCGCTCTCCGGCCCTCGGACTGGAGGAACGGGAGGGATGGGCGCTCTCCGCCCCTCAGGGCGGCGGGACGGGCGGCCCCGCCCCATCGGCAGCGATCGCGGCGGGCGGCGGAGGCGGTGTCGGGGTGGTGAGTGTGGCGGCGCCGGCCGGGGCGGAGGCGCTGCTCTCGGGGCCTCGCTCTGCCGAGCGCCTGCGGGGGAGGCGGCTCCAGCCCGAGCTCGGGGTGGCCGCGTTTGTTGTCCCGCAGAGCGGCCGGGCCGGGCCCGGGGAACCCCGGCTCTGACCAAGGGGCCTGTGGGTGAGGGCGGGCGGCGTCGGTGCCCGGCAGGCTCCGGCCTCCCCAGCCCCGTGCTGCAGGGTGCGAACACGTGTGGGTGGGAGCGTAAGCGCAGCACGGAGTGGCTGCATGGTAGAGCTGCTCTACGAGCGGAAAAAAAAAAAAGTAAGAAAAAACCCCACAATCTCATCCTGCTCCTTAATCCGTATTGTAAAATTTATTTCCCTGCGCACAATTTGCTCCATTCCTTGTAGGCTATGGAAGAAGAAATGACAAAATTTGACTGCTATGATAAATCTTTCTCATAGAGAAGGTTTTAAGTTCAGTGTCTTAGCCCAACTTCCCTGAGTACAGTGATCTGGCAACAGTTCCTTTGGCTCAATAAGCCATTTATTGCATATAGATGGTAGGAAAAAAAGTCCTGGAGAGCCCTCCACTGGTAAAATGGCACCTTTTCTTTCTCCAAGGCTTTCGTCCTCTAGACAAGAAGAAACAGTCCTTCAAAGTCTTGACAGCACTTAGCTGAGGTATAACATTTTCCAGATTTGTGTATCCAAAAAATATTAAGCCCAGGACAAATATAACAGGAATTATATTTACATTATGACATTACTGTGGTGGCAGACAGGCTTTCAGTGTTTATAGTAATGTTTGTCACTGAGGCTCCACAGTAAAATGAAACTATTTGTTACCTGAAAAAATGCAGCACCTTAAGGGGTCTGACCAAGTGTTGTTCAAGCTCTGTGACATGGTTTTTTTTAGAGATGGAATAACTGAAGCTCATAAATGAAGGAACAGCAGCATTTGGCCTTTTGTTTCAAAGGAGAAAAACAAATTAATTACAAAATTGTAACTTTTTAGAAATGCCCCAGAGGTTCACCTTGCCAATGTCAGGGTACTGTATGACCAGGAGGCTGGGCAGCTGTGCAGGGAGCAGAAGAACTTACAACTCAGAAATTGTATCTATGCTGGAACAGTTACAAAGCACAGCATGAACTAAATGATTGTTAGTACACAGATGTATTCATCTATTTCCCATGACCAAGTCCAATTATATCTTCCAGTCTAGTTTAAGTACCAAACCTGAGTTTCAACCCAATTAGCAACCAGAATGTTGCTACCAGTCCCACTAAAAAACATTTATGGCACTGACCTTTCTGGTAGCCTTGCTTGCTTCTCACTCCCCTAAAAATATAGAAAGCTGTAGGAGTAGTAATTTGTTATCCCTTTTCCTCTAACATGTTAATTCTCCTGTTTTCTCTATGGATATGCAAGCCTGAATTCCAGGAGGACTGACTACATGAATGCTTCAGAGCACTGAAAATTAGAATAGGATTAAAAGAATTCCTAATTTAATTTCTGGGTTTAGCAGACATGACTCTTGGCCAAAATGCTGATGTCTGACTCCAAGATTTAAAAAAGAAACATTAATAAGACTAAGAAAGAAATTAATATTACCTTTTAATTCCCCCACAAAGATCAGTGCATTTTCTATGTTTGAAGAACGTTACAAATTTTGAAGAGGGTTGAAATGGGGCTTGCAGTACTTCTCTAGCTGCCTGGTGTGTAACTTCCATCATCTGGAAGAAACTTTGTATCCCAATGATAAAAACTCAGGACAATAAAAACCATCTCATTGATGTGCCTTACACATACTTACATATATGGGGTAATAATTGAGAGTGCATTCATCGTAAAAGTAACAGGAAATAATTCTCCTGAGCCTGTGGTATGTCTTAACATGTCATATAAAATTATACTGGGAATGTGTGTGTTTGGAAAAAAAGAGTAGGAGTAGGCCTTGCTTTTTTTTTTTTTTTAGATCAATGTGTGGGAGAGTATCTGGTTATATTAAGGAGGCCTTTCCCTTTAAATCCTTGAAGTCTAAGTGGAGGTCCTCAGAAATAAAAGAAGTCACAAAAGTACTTTATAGGAGGCTTTTTCATTTAATGCCCAGTAATCTTGTCTCTTGAGTCTGAACAAATGCTGTTCAGTTTTCAGTGGAAAAGTGTCACAAAGATAGAAACAGTGGGAGAAGTGTTACATGCCAGTGCCTGTTCTTACTGAGGCTGTTCAGCCAAGTCGTTTCCATTATGTTCCTCATAAAGTTTTCACAGTTTGTACATTTCTGTGGTATTAAAGGTGGATATAATTTTTTCTTCAGGTATTTTAGGCACTTGCAGAGACTGACCACACCACAGTTACACAGGTCTGCTGCTGCTCATGCAGTGTGGTGGGTTTGTGTGATTGCCTCGTGTCAAATACTGGTTCTGTTTTTTGGTGTACCGTGGCACTAATGCTGGAAATATTTACAACTGTCAGTAATTTTTCTTACTTGCAAGTTAGTTCTGCATGTAAGGCTTGCATGGTTTTTGTTTAATTTTTCTATTTCTCAATACAAAATGAATCAGGCAAAGATATGCATGTTTGTCTCACTGCACTAACTAACTGCTGCAAGTGTTCACAGTGGGCTGAAGAGTTGTGCTGTCTTTGGTCTGACCCTAGCACCAATGTCATGGTTATGTTTTAAGATAGCATCAGTATGTTATACAAGTAGTTTTTGTAACCTTAGACAAGGAGAGCAATAGAGACCTTAATAATATTTTTGATTTTGCATAGTTATTCTCAAAGATAACCTTGAATATGCTAAGTGGTATTATTAGAAATCTCTTAAAATGGATTTTGGTCCTTTTTAAGCATATGTATTTCTTCTATGTCTTTAAGGGTATCTGCTGACTAGTGTCAAAGATTTTCTTGCTGTTTACTTTTGTTAGTTCTCAGACTAGTAGAGTTTCTTCTTGTAAATGAACATAAATTGTTTACTTGCAGATTGCTAAATGCAGTGGGATCATGGGGCTATTTTGAAGGTCTAATTGAGTTAGCCACAACTCAGTGGTGTGTGAGAAAGACCCTAATTTCAGAAGTAAGACTGAGTTTGTAGCACAGGAGTAAGAGAAAGGCAAAATCAGCATGCTTTTAAAACTTATGCATTGAGGCATCTTTGACTGGTTTTCTATTAGTTAATAAGTGTAAAGGACATTTTCTTGTTGGACTAAAAGCATTCTTCTTGATGAAAACATCATATTTCACTGTGCTATGGATTTACCATTTGCTTTCTGTTCACAAGGCTCACATGGTATTGTTTTAAGAGGCAATGGCATTCCTGTGTTTCTAATGCAAATAGTATAGTTTTTTCTTTTTTTGTTCTCTTCCCCTTCTCAGGTAGCAAAGTCAGGGGGGAACCAGAAGTTGTATATCCTTTAATGCGTAAATGATGGAAAACAAAGTTAATAATTATACTGCTGTGGCTACTGTGTTTCTGACATTGGATTTGTGGGTTACATGTGTCTAGCACATTTCAGTCATTGTGGCAATGCAATCTAACATATATGTTTTAAAGTATCTTCTGCAAATAGTTGCACGAAGTACCAGATCTTACTTATTTTTTGATAGTTACTAAAATTAACAGAACACATTTTCTCTAGTCTGTGAATGATTTTACTCTACACAAGGTGTCTTTTCTAGCTGTTTTCAGCCATGGGAGATATTTAATGTTTGCCAAGTCACTGTGACAAAACTTATTGTAGTTACATAAAGTTCCTAGGCCTCCCTCTCCAGTGTGACTGCTCATCTTAATTATCCTGATTTCAGCATACCTGATTTGAAACACTTGGAAATGGAGACAAGATGTGTAACTTTTAAAAAATTGGGCTCTTTTTCTATTGTATATTAGCAATCTTAATAGCAATTTTTATTACACAAACACATTTTCACAGGAATTCTAACAGAGACTTTGAAGCTTGAATTGCATTTAGTCTTAGCTATTATTCAAAAAAAAGATCAATGTTGTCAAATAAAGGAAACCTTCCTTTGAGATGACATTCAGAACCATTTTTCAGCCCTGTCAATTAGAGAGTTTCATCCTCTATGCTTACAGCTGTGACAAGGTAATCATTTAGTAGCACTTAATTGAAACAAAATCACTGGGGGGAAGAGGAGAGTATCTTAAAATTGTCTAGTGTTATGTAGGAACTCCTTCCTAGAATCTGTAAGGTTTTACAGGTCACTTATTTATTATGCAGGCATGTTTCTTGCTTCACGAAACTTCTGTTGCCGTGGCATTAAGCTAAGAACAGATTTGCTTTCCAGATCCATCAAACATTCAACCTCTGCAGTAAGTATTCCTTCAGTTCCATAGACAAAACTGTTTCATATTTCATGCAGTGTTTTAGAGATGCACTAATTTTGCAATGTTGAGAATATATATGCTTTAGCTGTGGTTTATTTCTTATTATAGATAAAAACCATTTACTATCAAGAACAAAATAAGGTATTTGAACCAGTCAAATATTAACCAGACTAGCGTAACAGAATTTGGTGATTATTGCTTTGTGTACTTTAAAGTCACATCTAGCACATATCACACCAGAAAGATTCCTTAGCTTATAGAGAGAAGCCTGAGATACAGGATCTCAGCTTTATCAGAGGCTTTTTGTAGGTCAATTTATTTATTTTTATCTCACTGTTCCTTTAATGATATGACAATAATGTTGCTTCTTGATGCTGCAACAACAAGGGGTCTATAAGTACCTTAAACTTAATTTTATATAGAATCTTTTCAGTTTCTTAGTTTAACTGCTTATGAGATTGTGTAACTTCATTTGAAGTTTTCCAGTTATGTTCAGAGAAATCAGCTTTGCAACATGGCAGGCAGCTGGAGGTGACAATCTGCATTCCATAGAGAACACTGGAATGTAAATGGTGTTCCCAGTTCATCTAGTCAACAAATTGGGTCAACTAAGACACATGACAGATCCTTCAAAACAGATGCTTGAGTCATTATACTGGGAAGTTGCAACATATTTTGCCCATATGAGAAGTGCAAGCCACTTTATAGGTCAGCTTTTGCCTGAGTCAGTTTTTCATATGCTATATCTATTTATATTCTGTTTAATTGAGTTGGATATTCATTAAATGTCCTCAAATTTAATATTGGTTAGTTTTTTTTTTAATTTTTAATTTTCTTAAGATGTTGGCTTAAGTTGTAGCTCTTTACAGTGTATTCTACAATTTATTTATGTACCATGTCAGAGTGTCTGCTTCCAACATCATTAAACTTACTGACATTCAATTTCTTTACAAGTTTCCCTGAATTAAGAAAAAGATAAATACAAGCAGCACCTGGATTTCTATCAGGTGTTAGAGGGTGTAGGGAAAGTAGGAGGTCAGTTAGAGCTTGATGAAGACATGGGTCTCCTGCTTAACACCCATTTTTGACTCCTGGAAATCCTACCCCTGCACCTAGAAGTGGATTGGAGATTATCAGGTGATGGCTGAAAAAAAAAAGATTCTTAAGATTTGTCATGACCTTCTGGAAAAAGAATGCCAGTAAAGGTTTCTTTTTAAAATCTCACTTAATTAGCTGGCTTGCCCAAAGTAGTGAGGTTGACCTGAACACCACTGTAATCTGAATCTGTGAAAACCTGAAAACTAATGCAAGTCCTGCTATTCTCTTTTAAAACTAGTTCCAAGATATAAGAAAGAAAGAAATAGAAAGACTTGGATTGTTAAATATATTTAAACTTGTATGGTAGGGAACAGTAAGGTGAAGGCTTATTTTATTGTCAATACATTTTTAGCTAGGGAAGGGTACTCAATGCAATTATAAAAGTCCTGCAGTTGATAAGCCTTTAGCTTTTAGCAAATTGAAACAATTTAAAGAGAGGCAGTGCATGGAACAAATTTACTCATGCAGCATACAGAATTGTCATTGTTAATTAGCAAGATTTGAAGTGGGTCTTATTCCCTCCTCTACAAGAAGTGGCCTAGCATGTAAAAAAGACATGTGTGTGTCTTAGTGTAAGTATTACCTGTCTTGTTTGTATTTTTGAAGTACAGCCAAACATTGATCATATTTACCAAAACATACACTGTAAAATCAGATTAGTCTTCTAAACTATATGAGTGTTTTTAAATAAATCCAATACCGATGACCTAGTCAGGACTCTCCCTTAACTCTCTCTTCTTCTGTGTTAAGAAATCTGACTTGACCTGTCTAGTGATCTTAAAGGTTTTCTTCCTGAGGACAACTAAAAGGTGTTCTGTGTTTGATTCCTCTTGAGTTTGTATCACACAATGAGGTCAGAATCAGATCTGTTGAGAAGACAAAGGAGCACAAAAGATTCTGTTTAATTTTATAGCTTCCCATTCTTCATATCAGAACACACGAGATGGCTTCATTACTGTAAGCAGGATGAGTGCCAGCATTGCCCTGCTGCATCCTGTGTCTACTTGGAGTCATTTCTATGGATGCAAAGTTGAAACTTGACTCTAATGGTAATGCAGACATTTTCATCTCAGAGTATGCTGGCCAGAATATGGTTTTTGAATCTTTCTGATAATAACAGCAGCTGGCAGTAGTAAAAGTAGCTAAAAATCTGTAGCTTGACTCAAAGAAACAGGAGTGTCTTGAGTATTGAGGAACTAGGTAATTTTTTTCTCTGGTATCAAGATAGTTTGCAAAGATAGATATGAACTTGTATTTTATAGAAATAAATTTGGGTTTATTTTTCCTAACTTTCTTTCCAGTTTTAGCTTAAAAATACCACAACTATCAGTAGGTTTTCCTCTACCTCCATATAGAGTAGTTATTACAAACCTACTTTATGGAAGTTTTCCAATACCTTAATTTAAGGTCTGAAGACGTAAAAAACCCATATTTGGATGTGGTTTTGCTGTGCTCTAAGGTAGATACTTTACAGCTTAAAAAATCTGAACAAAACCAGGAAATGTCTTTGCTATTTTCTTCTTACCCATCAATTTTACAAATAAAATTACATTGCAAATGCATACTTTCCAAACTGGATTGAGCAGGAATTGGACTAGAAATAGCATAGTCTTTGAGCTGTTAGCATATCATAGAAAAGAAAAAAGAAAGTATGTATACTAATTATTTCCTTTTTAGGTCATCTTTTAAAGCTATTGAGCTAAATTTTGCCCCTCCTCCATCCTTGCTAATGAAAGTTTAGTGGATTTAGATAATGATGAATGAGAATTTAGGAGATTTTTGTGTATTTTCTTGTTAGTCTGAATTCAAGATATTATGCAAGCTTTAGTGAAAGAACAAGTCTGTAATTCTGTGTAGCTACCGGATTCAGCTGGCAATGGTGTATTTGAGAAAGCATGAGGGAGGGTTTTCATGCTGAATCCAACAATATCATACTTTGTCTTCCTTAACAAAACCCTTCTGTCTGTATGTTTTGATCTTGCAGACAATGCCCTTCAGACACAAAAATACAAGACGGATTGAAGGCCTTGATAGCAATGTGTGGTAAGTAAGAGGAAAATATCTGCAAATTTCAGAAAATGTCCTTGGCTGATGTATTTTCTTTCCAAAAAGATAATAATTACTAATAATAAGATACATGGCAGTTACTATCTCTGCTGGAATATATTCGGAACCTGTTTAGTAGCAGTGAATTAAATTCAATTAAAGGTGTGATTGATTTTTATTTTTGAGCTTTAAATATTAGGCTTGGGCTTCTCTTCATCTATAAAACCATGTAAGACAAATATAACTCATGGGCATGGTAGTATAGCTGATTTTCAAATTTAAATGTTAATTCTGTTGAATAATGTGTTTCAATTACACCTGATTTGTGTTTACCAAACAAGTCAGATTTTTATTAAAGCCATTATACTTGTTTTATAATAAGCCATTATACTTGTTTTATAATTTGGCTCATTATTTTTAATACATCTTTTTCTAGGTATTAAATTGGTCTTAAAGCAATATTGCCCTTACTGATAAATATGGAATTTTCTTGGTTGGTGAAAAGACTATTTTGGGCTTACCTTAGTTGTATGTATGTGTTGCATTACTTGTGTATACATATACACAAGGTGTCAGCCTCAAGCTAATTTTTAGCAATTTGTATTCATTTTTCACAGGACTGTGATGCTATGTGGGAGGGTTATGATGGGGAGAGGGTTGTTTTGTTTTGTTTTTTTAAATCTTGTTAACATTTCAGTAGGGAGGAAAGAGTAAAATGTAAAGCTGATCTGTGAAGGGAGGAAGGAAAAATCGTTCAAGGATCTTCAGGTTATTAGATATAGTTAATAGGCAACCTGAAACAGTCTGTTGCCTAAAATTACTTTAAAAAATTATAGCACTCTGAGGTGACTGGGTAGTTTAAATGACACCTTCAATTGACTGATTTTAATCTTTAGGACATTTAATGTGCCTGGTATTCAATTTCTGCTATATCCAGAGAAACTGTGCGTTTGTGTATCTGCACATCTGAGCACACTTCTACCAGAAATGTTATTCTATAGATGCAGAACATCAATCTTTCCTTGGGTGCCCTCTGACTCCTGTGATCACATTATTTCAGCCCTCAGCTCTCCATTCTATTAAACCTGTTCCCATTGCTGGAAATTTGGCAAACTGAAATATTTTTGTTTTGCCTTCTAGTGCTAATGAATAAAAAGATAATTTTATCTGGTATGTTAACTTTAAGATGTTTTTCCCTCCAGGGTTGAATTTACAAAAGTGGCAGCAGATCCCTCAATTGTTAATCTCGGTCAAGGCCTTCCTGATATATCCCCTCCCAGCTATGTTAAAGAAGAGCTGGCAAAGGTAGCAGCAGTTGACAGACTGAACCAGTACACCCGAGGCTTCGTAAGTATTGTGGAACTCCAGGACCCAAATTCGGTGGAAAATGTGCCACAGGGAAAAAAGTTGACTTTAAATTAGTATAATCTATAGATCATAGTCTTATGTCCCAAATTAAGTTCATCTAGTAGCTTTGTCTGTAACGAATGAACTTCCTCTGTGTAGGCTTCTTCGAGGCAGAACCCTTCAGCAAGAGCAGAATGGTAGAGCAGGTCTGGGAGGTCTCTGAGGAGCTGATTCAGTTTAAAGAGTGTAGGTTATTTACCTCTGACTTTAGTCAGTGGGAACATGAATCAGACAATGGGAGAATGAGAAAGAAATACTTGGTATCACTGCCATGTCCCTGGAGGGGACACAAATGGTGAATGGTACTCTGAGATTTGGGATGTGACTATATGAATCAATATTTTGATCACAAGTGCTATTTATCAGCAATATATAAATACAATAAAAAGATTTTCCTTGCACCAAATACTTTTAGTTGAAAGATAAGAGAGGAAACAGAAGGAGCTGAAAGAAACTCAAGAGGAGGTGAGGGTGAATTGGTGTCAGAGTACTCCCTTCTCGCCTTCTGTCTCTTGTCCTAGCTAGGCTATAGGCTATCTGGACCTACTCTGAGATGTGATAATATCAAAGAAATTAAAAAGCACCACACAGAAAATAAATTTCCGAGTAGATACAAATAAATTGAAAACAAGCTTTTCTTTCCTAGTGTGCAAAAACTTTAAACCCTGTTACCTATTAGCAGCCATTAACACTGAAGGCTAGTGTTGTATTTTTCTATTTCAAAATGTAATAGTTTGATACACGTAGAAAAGAGCCCAAACTCAGACTTTATACATTGTCAGGCACGCTCCAATCAGTTACTTTCTTTTTGTTTTGAACAGGGACATCCATCACTGGTGAAAGCCTTGTCTCAAGTGTATGAGAAAGTTTGTGGAAGAAAGATTGATCCTCTCACAGATATCCTGGTGACTGTGGGAGCTTATGGATCTCTCTTTAGTACAATACAGGCACTAATTGAAGAGGGAGATGAAGTAAGTTTTTACTGGAAATATTCACATATACTCGCAGACATGAGAATCTTTATCTTTTTCTTATTTGTCTACTTCTAAATATAAGTTAATGCTGGGGCTTCTTTCTGTCCCTATTGGTTTGATTTTTAAGTTGTACATCTGACTTATGGTTTCAGAAGCTGTGATTACGAGACTATACTTTGGATGTCTTCCTATCACTCACCAATTAACAAACAACTTTTTTCACTCTTAGGGCATCTGTGGTAGTTTATTTATCACTGTTACTGTTAGGTGACAATACACACTGATTTCTTATTTGAGAAAATATGTGGATGTTGTCTGAAACAGAGGGCACAAAGAATTGTTGGTGTTTGGGTAACCATTATGTATCAGGTTCTGTTTTGGGCCACTGCATGGTGGGAGCATAGGGTGCAGAAAAGCTTAGTTAGTTAGTTAGTTACCACACTAGCTGTGATGGCTCAGCTCTTCACTATTACTGATGTCTGCCTTTTTGTCAATGAAATAAAAAGTCATTTTAGAGGAATATTTGTATCCATAGTGGATAAAACCTTTTTGTGTTGTTGTGTATTTTGCTTTCAGTGTTTCATTCATTTCACTTGTATATTGTATTCTCATCTTGTTTTTCTGTTGCTCTGATAGTCACTTCTCTTTTGTTTGGAATAGTTCTATAAGCCTTTGCTTTTGGTGGGTTTTTTTTTGGTTGGTTTGTTTTCTTATTGTTTAGCCTCTGTTCAGTTTTTCTTAAGTTTTCCCTCTTTCTTTACCTGAGAATTATTGATAAAATTTGAAGACTTAACTGTTCTTTTGAGATTTCTAAATACCTGGAAATCCTGGAATTTCATGAGTATAATTAAAGCAGCTCTGCTGTGATTCAGTAATTTACCATTGCTATTTCTCATCTTTGCTTTGTACCTTCAAATCTGTGTGTAGGTCTCAAACATTCTTATTATTAGAACTCAATAGCTGTAATGTAGAAAAACAGCCTCTGGGTGTTGTCAAAAATGAGTGGTGCTTATCATACTTAGCCTGAGGGCATTATTGTATTGTACTCTAAAAGGAGGAATATTCTGCAATGTTATAACATTAAACCTGGACTGCCAGAAACATTATCAACCTATGGCACCAAGGTAAATGTAGAAATAGGATGGTATCATGCACAGTAAACTCTTTGTTTCTGATACTGATGATTGTCATTTCAGGTAATAATAATAGAGCCATTTTATGACTGTTACGAGCCAATGGTAAAGATGGCGGGTGCAAAGCCTGTTTTTATCCCACTAAGACGTGTGAGTAACTTTTTAAAAATTACTAATTATATAAAGTTTCTCATCCATGTTCAATGCAGTTTGCTGAACACCTATATGATGCTTTTCTATATAGTTTTTCATAATGTCAAATTACATAAAAGTGAGATAGATTGCTAGAGTGTGTCTGACACAATGATAATCCAAAAGAGAATATTTTATTAGTGTTGGAGAAGGTGTGAGAATGTTTCTTATTTGCTTTAATTTCTGCATTCTGAAAGCTGATTAAAACTGCTTTCTTCAGTTTTCAGTGCAAATTATTGAAGGGGGATCCACATATCAGTGCAATTTCTCTGTCAGTTGGTTTTCAAAAGGTTTGGTTCCTGATCCCTACAGCAATTCCTACAATTAGAGAATACAATTTATTTTCCAAAGTATGCTTGCTAAATAAGGACTGATCATGTGGTAGATGTATTTGATACACATACAAAATTACTGTTTCCTTTATTGTTAAATAGGCTATAGGTTAACTGTCAAATTGGTACTGCTGGCATTATGCCCACAGCTTGCAAGGATTGTTCTGCATGCCAGTTGTGCCTTGTGCAACTGGCAGCCTTGCTGAGGGGCTCTTTGGGCAGCACTATTGCAGGAACACCATGAAATCAGAACAACACAGAATGACAAGACTTCCAGGACTGAAGTGGGAGTAGGTGGAAGTCCATCTTCTAGGGATGTTTCAAATGACAGGGCACCTCCAAGCATTTTCTGTTTCACACTCTTGTTTTTGGTCTGGCCCTCTCCCAGTCATTGCAGGTGTCACAAGGGTAGTGTGGCCATGCTCTGTGTTCTCTGTACCAAGTGGCCCAAACTCCTTAGCCATTTGTAATACCTCAGGGATACTTGTATTGTGCAGTATATAAACTCCAGAGACTCAGTAATGCAGATTTTTAGCTCTTTGGCCATTTTCTTTAGTTTAAGGAGAAGGAAAAGACCTTGAATCCCCAGTGGTGATCAGTCTTTTCAGTCAAGCAAGCACACACTTGCTCTACTGTCTGGCAAGTCTGTAAACTCTCCTGCCATGTGACTGCATTACACACTGTGATAATTAGCATGTGTGCAACAAGATCCTGGAAACTAATTCCTGCAGGGGCTTTAAGACAGACAGTGGCCAAAGGAGGACAGCCACTGTCACAATAGTTTACCTGTTCCTAGAACAACCTTCTCTTAGGTGAGCAAGACAGATTGAATAAGTTGTCATATATGGTTATGAAGGTGTTTGAGAGTGAAAAGTTGAGCAGGTGTCTTTAGGCTGCAACATGTATTAAAGTCACATATAAATTTATTGTTGGTTTTTTTTTTGGTTTTTTTTTTTTTTTAGAAAAAGGATGGAAACTCTGCATCTAGTGCTGATTGGGTCTTAGATCCTGCTGAACTTGCAAATAAATTTAATTCCAAAACAAAAGCAATTATTCTGAATACTCCACACAACCCAATAGGCAAGGTAAGAGTCGTCCTTTAACACTACTTTAATTTCAAAGAATGCCTTAAATACTGTTATTAATGTATTTTCCTTTACTTTTCCTGTATCCCAGGTTTTTACCCTGGAAGAGCTCCAAGTAATAGCTGATCTCTGTATTAAACATGACACCCTGTGCATCAGTGATGAGGTGTATGAATGGCTGGTGTATAAAGGAAATAAACACATTAAAATAGGTACTGATTTTTTGTGGCATCTTAGAAGTAGTAGTGGAATGATGCTGTGAACTTGCCTCCCAAGGATAATGCTTGCTGGAAGAAGCTCATATTTCAAGCTTTGAAATTTTTCAATGTTTAGGCTCTAAGGAGGAGATCCCCTCTCTTTTCTAAAAATTGTTTTAAAGAATAATTTCCAAATAGAATTTCCAAAGCTCTTCAGTGACTTTGCAGTAGATATCCATAGAAACCAGTGGGACTGATGCTTGTAAGTCAGTTATGATCATATGAATTTGCCATCCTTATTCAGTTACTCTGTTGGCTATGACAAGTATAGTTGCTGTCACTGTATGTATATTAGACAGTGCTTTGCTGAAGAACTAATAGAAGGAACAGGAATTAGAACTTCCTTCTCAAAGCTTTGTAGAGATAATAATGAGGGAAATGGACAATGAGAAACACAATTATTTTTGCTCCACTAATTATAAAAAACTAAAAAATAGTATAAAGGTCATTGTGGAGATAGTGCATGAGCACTGTCCCTCCCAAGGATGGAGACAGGATTAAATACTAGACATTGAATTCAGTGAAGTAAGTCCTGCAAGTGCAGTATGAAAGCCTGTTAAATCTTCAGGTAGTGTTCTTACAGGGGTAAAGCAAAATTGCAAGAACAAACCAGAAAAACAAATAATGATGCCAGGTTCTTGATCCTATTGTTTTACCTGATCCAAGTTTCACTGAAGTTAGTGGAATCACTCCCACTGCCTTAAACAATTTAACCTAAGGTTACTGATCTCCTTTTCCAGTTCTATAATGCTACAGCTATGTATTTCTGTGAAAATTTCTAATCTGGTGGCCTTGGGTTGGCTCTGCTGATGTATTTGAAAAGTCCAAAACTTCCTTCTCATATGTACAGATACTTTGTTTCTGATTGTAGCATCTTGCATGAGCTACCTGTTCTGATGTACTTACTGTATTGAAGGCACATTTCAGTCGTGTGCAATAGAGGCATATAGTTAAGATTAAACAATGATATCAAGGCACTTACGTATAAATTAGACATGGAAAGACTTACCTTTTTCCCTAGCTCTGCCACTGGTTGAATAACTTTGCTTCTAGGCATCAATTCCATATTTGTAGAGTGACAACAAAATCCATTGGTGAGGGATACATCATTGTGAAAATTGAATCTTATGAGTAATAGAAAGAAAATGATATCTAAATGACCTTGCAGTAGTTGTTAGCTCAGCTGCACAGTTGCTGATCATCCATTGATTATATTGGCCATGCATAGGCTGTGAGTCTGTTTTGAGGGTGACCTAATTCTGTGGCTGTTGTGGTTACCTTGATAGAGATACTGTCTCAAAGACCTTCCGACATGGAAGAAGGAGAACATTTTGGGTACATTAATGTGATAGTAATCTGAGTCACTGCATCTTAACAGGTTACCTAACAGTAACTGATCATGTGTCCCAGCTGCAAAGTGAAGTCAGTTAGATTAAAGATTTCTGCGTGGGCTTAGCAGGTGTTTCATGGCCTTAGCATCTCATGCAAGGCTGTCTTCAGAATCAAAATCTCTGTGTGGTGTAAGGTAATCCCTTTTCCTTTTCAACAGCAGCAGGTCCAGACACATTGTCAGCTACACTTCATCTTATGGACAGGGGTGAATTCTTAAGATGCAACATCTCCATTGTCATCAGCACATTAATGCTTCAAACCAAAACACTGCACCAACCAAAGGCATTCTGTAATTTAGCTTAAAATGTAAAAGTACTGTATAAAGAAAATGCAAATTAAAGCCCAGAAAGATAGTCAGCTAGGTTTAGGTATGGATTCTCTAACACATCCCATGAGATCATTGACTTTAGTGTTGAAAGTACTCTACAACTTTCAGGGTAACACTGTAAACAATAACATTATTTCAGTGAAAGAAACAGACTCTGCTCTTTTTTTACTTAAGTTTCTCCTCTTCCTTATTACTTTAAGTCTACAAAAACAATACAATGAGTGTGTTATTTCTCTATTTATAAACTCTTGTGTTTCCATAATAACCTCTATATATTCTATACAATGCAGTGACACTTTTTTTTTTGTGGGAGATACAAAATGGATATTGCATCAATTTACAGGACCTGATAGTTGTTCCTTCATACAATTTAGCAGGGGTTGCTAGCCACAGCTCATAAAATTAGTAGTCTTTGTGCTGTCACTGAAGCAGTTTTCTGTAGCATATAACACTTCATCATGTTTCCCATCATCTGAGTTCTGTGAAAACGTGGACTTCCTCTGCATAATGATTAGGGTTGCGCTGACAGATTTAGAGATTGCACCTCATAACTGAGGAGTCTGAGCAAGCCACTCAACAAGCTGAGTACTATCCCAGGTAACAGGCTTATTATATGTTAGTTGCACTTCATTAGTTTTTAAATTGTAGTCAGACTTGGTTATGGTGTCATATGATGTCAGATATGGTTGCCACAGGGAAATTTCCCTCTCTATTTAAAACTTGTTTGGAAAAGCAATGGAGCTGCTTCTTTCTCTGTGCCCTTGTACTGCTGCTATTGTTTGAAAAGCTGTCATGTTCTATCTCCAAGGTTGAATTCCTGTGACTATGTGGCAAAACAGGCTTGCTGGAGGCCATTAGCTTTGAAAGACAATTCTTTTTGCAGTCTGTGAGAGCTGGTTTGGGTGCCTCTAGGAAGTGATCTCTACTGTTGGCCTAGCTTGGTAGAAGATACATCTGTTCAAACTTTTTCTTTTCAAGGTCACAGAGTAGTTGAGTATGGGTAGCCTAATAGAAAAATCAGTTTCTTTCATGCTGTTTGGTTTCTCTTCTTGGTAAGTTTGCTCCAAAAATTGCAATACATGTTTTCAAATAACTGAAAGACTTATGCCATGTCTAATGCTGATAACTGCCACAAAAACTTCCTCGTGAAATTCAGGAGTTTAATTTGGAAAATCTTTGTTCATTGGTCTCGCTAGAGAGGGGATTTAACAACTGACAGATTCACTGGTAGTGGTTCTAGTATGCAAATGAGGTGAAGTCAGATGTTGGTGACTACTGTAATTGCAACCTTGACTGACTTTGTGTCTCAGACTTAGGTGTGTCTGGATTTGTCTGTTTCTCTTGAAATTAATTAAGTTGGAGTCCAAGCAGAGCTTTGCAGAAGCGGTATAGAGAAAAAAAATTGCAAACTACAGGAAGAGACCTTTGCTCTCTTATCTCCTTGGAAAGGGAACAAAGGATTTTGGTCTCCTATCAAATACAACTGCAAAGACAGAGACAGGCCTCTGTGAGTCCCTTAATCCTTGCAGACATTTTAGCTAACTGCTATTGTCAGTCAGTCTCAGGCTTGTTCAAATTGTAAAATACAGCATAATTTATTTACTCACTCTGCTAGTTTTCTGGTGTTCTGTTGTTTGGTTCTGGGTTAGAAGTCTTAGTAATTAGTTTCTTTTTCTGATGTCTGAGACAGCCAGTGACACTGAACTGGACAATTCTAGTAAAGAGGGTTGCAGTGCCTGAGTTAATGTTGTGTAAAGTTACCAGGCATCAGAAATAATCTGTCCTGGGGTGAATGGATAGCCTTAGATAATATTTCTTATGGATAATTGTGCATTTTTGCTGAGGATAATTAACATGTAGTTTTCAAACTGTACTTCTCATTTTCTGTCTCTTCTTTCTCTTTTCATTAATCCTTACCTTCTTTTCATGCTAAAAAGCACTGGCCCATATATAATTTTTCATTTGTTACAATTGCTATAATTTCAGAATAATCTTGTTGTTTGCTTAAGATGCTGCAATGAACATACAGCTCTTTGCTAGGGGCAGTGCAGTTCTTCAAATTACATGGAATATGTGAGTGCACCTGTACCAAATTAATTTTATTTTATGTACAGCTACATTGCCAGGTATGTGGGAAAGAACAGTAACTATAGGAAGTGCTGGGAAAACATACAGTGTAACTGGCTGGAAGGTAAGAAGAATCAACATAAATGAGTTAAATTACACAGAATGCATTTATTACTCTAAAAACACCTCTGTTTTTATGACCTGTGTTCTGAAAGTTTCTGGCAAATCTTCATGTCTCCAAAATGTGACAAGACCATTCAGTTGGAGCAATTACCTATTTTTAACACCCATATCTTAATTATCTTCTTGTCTCTTAACTGATAAACTCTTGTGAGCATAAATTACTAAAAAAACCACCACATTATGTTTTGTTCAAAATCAGTAAAGATTCTTGGAGAAAATATGGATATTATAATATTTTAACTTCCCAGTTTTCCCATCTTGACTTTTAAATATGTATCAGAAAGTGAAAAAAAAAATTTTTAGCAACTATATTTTTCATCACCATGTGTTCATCAGCATGTGTTCAAAGTGAACCACAGCATATATGATGCAGTACTGAGCTTTTGTTTTATATTCAAACTGGCTTTGACACAGTAGCTTAAGAGATGGATAGGCTCTAAACCAATTAGAAATAACATTTCTAATAAATGTTCAGTTGGATTTCTAACTCTTGTTTTATGAAGAGTTAAAAGTTTACTCAGTATCCTATGAGAGATAGGGATAAGGGAAAATAGAATTGTTGTCTCAAATCTACCATTTTTAAAGGCATCATACACCAAGCTTTGTGTAAACCAGCTTTTTCTTAATAATTTATCAAAACAAATGCTTAAAATAGAAAAAACTCAAGACATTGGCTAATTTTTAGTACTTGTTATCTCTTAGTAACACCACTGCCTGTAAGTGTAATATATGCACCCTTTCCTCCCTTAGCTTGGTTGGTCCATTGGTCCTGAGCACCTGATTAAGCATTTGCAAGTTGTTCACCAAAATACACTCTACACTTGCCCAACTCCATTACAGGTAGGTACAGATGGGGCAAAGGAGATTGTTTTCTGGTGTAAGAAAGCTGTTGGCCTCATGTAATAAAACAGTAATCACAACAATGAACTTTTAGTTGTCAAGATACCTATTCTAGGGTGTAAGAAGAGGAAACAAATTTGATCAGCTCACCAGACATTTAAAAAAATATCACTCTTGCGGATTCTGTCATCTTGTACCTACAAACTACATGTTGCATAAAACATGACAATCTTAATGGTTTCCTAGCAAATATAAATGAAAGTTCTACCAGTGTCAAGTATTCTATGGTACATTATTATGAAACAAATTTAACTTCAATTCAGATTGTAAACTTTTGTGTCTAGGAGTCCGACTTCAGTGTATGATTAGTGCCTAGCAAAAGATTGGGTGTTTTGGGTGATGCCACAGCACAAAGTAATTAACAGATTATGGATGTATCTTGTGTAATTTGTGTGGTGGTTTGCTTAATATGGGCCAGGATTGAACAAAATTCTCGATTTCAGCAGGAAGTGGGAGTGTCTGTGAGGGTACTGAGTGTTAATGAGCCTCCTGTGTTTCCAGGAGGCTTTGGCACAAGCATTTTGGAGGGACTATAAGCGCATGGATGACCCTGAGTGCTATTTTTACTCCCTGTCTCGAGAGCTGGAGAGCAAGCGTGATCGGATGGCTCAGCTACTGAAAGGGGCTGGACTAAAGCCTGTCATTCCAGATGGAGGATACTTCATGATCGTTGATGTTTCCACGTTAAGTCAGTATAAAGTTTATTAAAGAGTGTGTGGAAAGTAAATCTGGTTAATGAGAAAATTCAGCTTTCATTTTAAACTATATTCTCATCTCATATGCACCCATATGTGTGCATAACATTGTCAGGAGTACTAACTGGGATTGAAATTTTCAGTTTCACCTTAGCTGCTAAGGTAGATTTTATGAGCTTCAGCAAAGCATTTATGATCCTAACTTGTTCATGTTTTGCAAAGCTATGACAAGTTTTTAGAGAGGATAAAGGAGGTAGATAAACATTCCTATTTTCAAAACATCTATGATTATGAGAATGAGAGCCAAGCACCTGGATATTATACTGAGTTCATACTATTTGCGTTTTCTTTTTTTTGGTATTTTTTCTGTTTTTTTTTTTTTTTTTAATTTTTTCTCCTAATCTGAAGTCACACCCTAAAGGCTCTTTGAAGCATTCTGATCTTTAAACACTGAATGCTACCAAAATTTACAAACCTTTTGAAAATTCAGGCTATGGTAGCTTCAGAGAAAGAATTCACACAGGGGAAGGTCTTTTTAGTTCCACATTTTTTCACTGACTAGTCTAAATAGCATTTTTCATTTAGACAGAAATGTTTAAACACAGAAAGATATCACAGTTTAATCATGTGTCAGGAAGTTTTAAGTACCCCAGTTTCACAGATGAGAAAACTGCTTTTTCAGGGATTATTGCTGTCCATGCAATAAATGCACTCTTCAGTACCCTCCATAGCCCTGATCCCCAATAGTCCAGACTTTAGGACTTTGAGTATTACATGGCTTTCTTCCAAGCTACATGTCTGAATTTGCTTTGGACAGAAAACAAGTGCTTAGATCAGAAGGGAAAGGTTCAATCTGTTGGCCTATTTTACTTCTTAGAGTATAATTTAAAAATTATATATTAAAATAAAACATATATTTTCATTCTCAAGTATTAACTGTAATAAAATGCTGTTAATGAATGCCTCCCCATTGGAGTCTAGGAAATCTTACAACATATTTGTTTTACATTTAGATGTGGATCTCTCTGATGTAGATGAGAAACTACCTTATGATTATAAATTTGTCAAATGGATGATAGCATCTAAGGTAAGATGTCTTAGTCATACTCTAGTTTTACGAATGCTTTTCTATTGAAAGGAAGAACAGTGCAACTGTAGTTATTAAATAATGTAGTAGAGATGTTCCATTCAAAATATTGTTTGGTGTTATTGATAATGATGTGACTAAAATATTGTAAGTATGTTTAAAAGGTACACTGTAGGTTTGTGCTACATCCCAGCACTTTTCTTTCAGGAAGCTTAAGTGTTAGTTGTACAAAAGTACCTTTGAAATATTTTGCCTAAGAAAAGTAATTTGAATTTAGTACAAGCCTAGCTAGTGCATACAAAACTGAACCTTGTCTTTCCCTCATGTGTTGGGAGGGAGAGTTCTAGAAACAGAATAGTAAAATCGTCATGCTTAAACCAGATTTCTTATACACATTTAAATAAGCAAATGCTATTTCTGTTTTATGTTTCAGAAGCTGTCAGCAATTCCTCTTTCAGCATTCTGTGCTCTTGAGACAAAGAAACACTTTGAAAAATACATACGGTTTTGCTTCATTAAGGTAAGCTTGTGTCCTGAAATCAATGCAGTACAGGAATCTGCAAGAGACTGACTTACATTTTTCCCAGGATCTCTTGTATTGAAAGCTTTTAAGAACATAAAGTTAGTTTGATGTAAAATTCAGCACAAAGTATCCTTCAATTGTCTTTTTGCTGAAGGACTTTACACCATCAGTGTAGGTGGCATGGAAGGGCAACTGGCAGAAAATAACTGGATGGGTAGCCCTTTTAAGCTTATTGTATTAATTTTTAAAAACATTCTTGACCAGTGGTGACAGTGAAAATTATTGAGACAGGTAAGCCATCAATTAACGTGATACCCATAATCCAGAGCAGAGAATAACTGTATAGCAGAGTGTGTGCCCCATGTCCATTCAGTGTCTAACAGCAAAAACAGTGAAGAGGTCACCTTCAAATTTAGCTCACTTGCCTGAAAATACACAGACTTTCACGTGAGCTCCAAATTAAAAAAGAAAACATGGTTTTTTTGTGAATTGGCTGGTTTTTGCCATTTTGTGAGCACCTTCTTTGCAAATATTCTTCCCCTGTTAAGTTTGTTCTTGAAAGGCTGAAAGGCTTTGGGGACAGGTATGTAAACTTCAATAAGCCCAAAGCCCGGAGATGTTTCCCAATTGTTCTGTAACAGAGTCAGCATAATGGAACATCTGCAAATCCTGAGCTGTTCTGTATAAAGATCAGAGCCTTAGCCTGAAACAGTAATGAAGGGGAGTTTCTCCTTGTGTTACTTCTTCTGATGAAGTGTAAAGTCTGTGGTATAAACTGAGCCAGTAACAGGCAAGATGAAGTTACTGGTTGTGCCTGTGGCTAACAAACAGCACTAATGGTTTCAAGTTAGACTGCCTTTATGACTCACCAGGCTGGAGCCAAGCTACACAGTTTGGAGGGATTATGTTTAAGTAGTTTACAGCATAACCTGGTTGCAAGGAGTTTGAAAAATCCCAACTGTACTCACAGGGATTAGGAAAGTGTGCTAGCATGTCTCCAAACCAGAGCTGCTAAGTTACATCACTGCATTAATGCCATGAATTTATGTAAGTATTGTTTTCATTAAATGAATGCTGAGATGGTATCTTTTAAATGTATCTAATAAATGTTTTCAAGGAATCAGCACTGAATGCTTTGTATTGTCCAGATTTGGACCTAACAACTGTCAATGAAAAACTGGTTGAAAAGAAATTTACAGGATGCAGCTGAAGCAACCAAATACTGATTTGAGATGATATAATCATGATTGACTCTTTTCAGGAACTCAGTACTTGCAGTAATAGTGTTGTTTCTTGTTTTGCAGAAAGACAGCACACTAGATGCAGCTGAAGTGATCCTGAAGAACTGGAATAAACAGACAGACTGATTTTTCTTATTAACTCTTCCATATAGTGTAATTATCTAATAGTAGGGTTTTTTTAAATTGGAAATTTAAGAAAAAATTACTTAATACACTACAGAATTGATATGACGTTGTAAATAACTTTTTACTGATGCCTGCTGAGGAGTTAAAACAAGGATTTACTGAAATACGTGTAATGCAACTCAGGAGTTATTTTCAGTCTTTTAAAAATAAATTGCTTTTCTCTTAAAGAAACCCCAATGTACTTCTCTGCAAACTTGTGGCAGTTTTGCTCACGCTTATCTTCTATGGGAATTCCCGAAAGTGCAGAGTGTGCACAAGAGCAGCTGACCCGGAGGCACGGCCCGGGGCCGGCACGGTGCGCTTTGTGCAGGGGGTCTGTGGGTCGCTGCTCGGCCCGAGGGGAGGGTTCCAGCCCACGTCCCGCAGCCCCGCTCCCCGCTGGCCCGGGGCGGTCCCGAGCGTGCCCCCGCCCCTTCGCGGCACCCGTAGGAGCGCTCGGTGGCCCCGCCCGCCGCTCTCGGGATTTAATTGCAGGGGCCGCTGGGCCGCGCGGTATCCGGCCCTGCTGCGGCACCGCCGACATGGCGTCCACCAGCCGGTACGGGGGCGGGCAGGGCGCGGGGGGCCGAGGGAGGAGCGGCTTCGGCTCCGACATCGCTCCCGTCCGCGGCACAGGCGGAGGATGGCTGCGTCACCCCCGCTACCGCCTGGGGACTGAGCGGCGGCCATCGCCGCCCTTGCCCGGCCCCGGTGCTGCCGTTTTAGCCCGGCTCTCGCGGTGCACGGCGCACCGGCCCCTCTCCGGTGTCCTGTTTGTCAGGGCCGCTCCTTAGGGCGGCAGGCGGTCGGGCCTCAGGGCGCCCGCGCCTGTTCGTGCGGGCCGGGCCGGGCAGCCCCCGGCTGAGCGGCCTCTAAGGGGCCGAGCTCGCCGCCTCTGCGTCTTCGTGTCGCTATTGCTGGGCAGCGCTCCGAGGAGATGCCGAGGGTTTTGGGCGATTGATATCCTGCGTGCGGAGCTCCTCGTCAGCCACAGCTCAGTGCGAACGGCGGCTCGGCCTGGTCTGTCCCCCGAGCGCGGCTGTGGCCTGGCCGGGCCCTGTGGGTACCGAGCCCGTCCCGCCGTGTCTCGCGGCCAGGCACCGGCAGCTGCGGCTCCTGTGTCCCCCGTGCTCAGCGCTGCCTTGAGCCGAGGTGCAGCTCCCTGGCCTGGCTCCGCCTTATCGGGGCCTGCAAACTGCTTTCAGGCTCCCACCCTAAATCCGTACCGGCACTAGTCAGCGACCAGACGGGTTTCGGGTTCCGAATTCCTTCCTCCTGGAGACACACCGAATTTTTCTTTCTAGTCTGAAAGCCCACGGAGCAGACTGGAGTGACTCCGTAACTCCTGCTAAACCTGTCCTAGGATCTAGGAAGTGCTTCCGAGTAATCTTGCTGCAAGTCGGGAGTTATTTGCTGGGATGGGCCTTTATACACGTGCCATGCATTTTCCTTGGGTGTAGGTGGCTTAGTAAATTGAACCCATTGCAAGGAGTACAGCGTATATGTGTCTGTAGATAAACCGAGTTAAATTGGGATGGGAAGACAAATTTTTGCAATGCTTTATGAAGGTAAAGTCTGAAACAAAGCATGGGTGGTATTCTTTGAGACATCTGGATTTTTTTTTCCTTTTGCTTAGTGTGTCACTGCCTTTTATGTAATGCCAAATGTCAGATGATTGTGAATGCTTTGTCAACAGTGTTGTCATATGAAACTTGTGGCTGGGAATAGAAGGAAAGTTGTCTAAAGAGCTTTCATGTACTCTTTTGAACATAATTTACATCTGAACATCTTGTGTTGACATGCTGTCTGGAGGTTTTAATATTAATAGTTATGTTGATTTTCAGTTTTAGTTTCGGGTTGCAGACATTTTTGTCTGTGGATTAAAATGTTCTGTTTTTTTGTGTTCTAGACTCATTAGAAATATCTAAAAAATGAAAATTAAGTTGGGGATTATAGGTTAGGCTGAATTAATGGCAGAAAGAATTGTGGAAAATGGGGTAACCCAGAGTAATTCTATTGGAAAATTTTTTTAAATTTAATGGATTACAAATTGTTTTTTTGATTTATTCAAATAGAAGTTAGTAGTCATGATAAATTTTTTGAGATCAACTTCTGTACTCTTATGCTTTTAAACTTGAGCAGAATGGCTTTGTGGAATACATGGATCCCAATTGTAAACACTTCTTACTCCCATTTTGAAATAATTTTAATAGAATTATGTAACATACTGTTAATATGAAGTATTTACTTTTGAAACATTTGGTTAGAAGCAGTTGGTTGTTGCTTTAGTTAGTAACTAAAAGCTGTTTATTAAATAATGCTAATGCTTTATGGGAAGTTGTAATTCTTGAAGATCCATGAGTGTGAAAGAGATCCCTGTTTTCAGAACTTCTTGTCATGTAATTGCCGTAGGAGCTGATTATTTTTTGTTAAGATTTCACTATGCATTGCTTAATTTAAAATGGAATTTATTCTTCAAATACTTTAAAATAAATCAGTGTTTGAATTGGGAATTTTCCAAACATACATGTTGTATGTGCACTACTTTCTGAGTTAAGGACCTGGTAAATAATACTGTTCTGAGTAGAAGGAGTGAAAATGCTCGTTTGGAATGAAGAAATCACCACTAACTTCTTGGGAAACTTCGTTTAGCAGTAGTTTGAGTTACACTGCATTTAATCAAGTCTGTTATGTAGATTTTTAATGTTTGATTTGAAGTGATTTTGGTACAAGATAGATTACAAGAAAATTGGAATTTAGGTGATCTGAAGTCTTGATTGTCAAATGTAGTTGCAGCATTCATATAAAAAGTGCAGCTCAGATAATCGAGTTAATATTCTATAATTTAAAACATTAAGTGCTGTATTACTGAAGTGTTCACCAAGGAACTTTTTTGCTTTTTTTCTTAGTTTGGATGTGCTTCCAAGGGTGACTTGCCCAAATCATCCAGATTCCATTTTAGTGGAGGATTACAGAGCTGGTGATATGATTTGTTCTGAGTGTGGGCTAGTAGTAGGTAAGTAGTTATTAATATTTTTATAAATTGCCATGTAACCCAAATGGTGTGTGTAGGTTTGTGCTCTCTTCATGCTGAAGTGTTTGTGGTAGATTTGATGGGGTGTGTGTTTGTTTTGATTTTTTTGTGTGGGGCTTAGTTTTTTTTGTGATTGTCTGTTGCTACGAGCTTACTGCTCTGAATAGCCTGTCTTCTGGTAATTTCTTGCACTACAAAAATAATCAAACTCTCTTTAAAGACTGAAAATTTAAAATGTGCTGTAATATGAATTAGAGCATTGTGCTGTCCAGTCCCGTATTCTGTTTTTATTCATGACTCTTCTTTGATTCAGGTAAGTATAAGAGGTGTTATAGAAGCTCTCTGTGAAATAACTGCTAATAAGAAATAAAACCAACACAGCACAAAACCAAACCCCAACCAACCTCAGTTTCCCAGTAGCTAGATGTTATCTTCTGCCCTGAAAGATTTATCTTTATATGGTTGCTAGCATGTGTGTTAATCACTTTTCCCAAGTCTTTTTAAGACTATCCTAAATTTTCCCACTGGAATTTTGTGAAGCTCTTTTACTTGGTTTCTGTAGCAGCAACTTCCACAGACTAGACTGTATTTCGAAGTAGAATTGAATATTTAAAATGGAAGGCCTGTTAGGCTTTGTCTTTTGTTTGAATAAGAAAGAGGAAGTTGCCATAAAACCTGCTGCATATACATTTTTATTTATCTTCTAGGATGAACATCTTACATGCACCTTACCGTCTTTATTCCTTTTATCATGGGAAACTTTCCATGCTTGTATTTTGATAATCCTTTAAACTCCATTGTTTTCTGTTAATTTGTTTTTGGCCATTATGTGAGAAAATCCTCCTTGAGGGTGCATGTTGGTGTGATTCATTCAGTGCTGCTAAATATTTCAAATTGTTTAGATCTATCTTTCCTAGACTTCTGAAAGTTAAGGGATTTGTGGTGAAGATAGTACTAATTTAGCCAAGCAACTAAAATGTCTTTTTATGCAAAAGCAAACTTCTACATAAATTGTTAAAGTAAATGTTAAAACATTTAAACTTGAGTACCAGTTTCCTTTAAAATCATGAAACCGTTTAAAACCTCTAAAGGAAGGGTTATAACTGCTTTGTTAAAAAGAGGGGGTGGTTTAAATTGCATAAATTCTGATAAAGGTCAATTAATCAATAAATTTCCTGGTTAAAAATTGAAATACCAGCAGTATTTCCTACTCAAATATGATAGTAAGCTTTTAAGTTACTGCTTAAAAATACTTTGGTGCATGTTCAGCTCTTTGTGTGGCTGTCACAGAGATTGAGCAAAAGTTTAGAAAAGCCCTTAATCAGACTTAATTAAGTCTTAATCAGCTCATAACTTTTAAGATAGCTCTGGTATTGGGAGAAGAGGAAAAGCTTTTTCTTCATAAATGTAATTTTTTGGAACTTGGAATTTGTCACAAGTCTCACTTCATGTACCTTCTGTTACCTAGTCACAAGGAATTCTTGCCTGAAGAGTTTATCCTCTGTTTTTTCTGAAGTAATAGCATTGGTGCATTCTTTAGTTCAAAATGTTAGCAGTTTCAATGAGCAGGATCATTAGAATATTAATAGAAACTGTTTCTGAATTGAGTTTTTAATGTGTTTGTAGTTGTCTTAGTGCGGTTTACTGCCAACATTACTGGTAGGATAAAAAATGTTTTTTAGGCAAGCATTCTGTGGATTTCTCCCCAAAAGGCTTTAACAGCATTGTGCTGATTGTTCTCATTCTGTTTTGCATTCCTTCAGCTATTTAGCCTGCCTCTGTGTCCAATTCCTAAGCTAGGGTATCCAGCAGGTAATTTGGAAAACCGATTAAATAGGGTGACAATAAGTAATCAAAGAGAAGTGAGAGCACTAAATATTTTCTCACCTGGTCTGATAAGAAATTTAGAGAGGGTGTAAACCAGATCCAATCCTTGATGCCTGTTTTTTGGAGATGCTTGTGAAGTAGGGATTAAAGGAGTGAAGACAAAATTTAGCTTTAATGTGTTCCAAATGCAACTTTCCTGTATTTGTAGCAGATTCCATGAGACACATTCCTCTTAAGAGACTAAAGATTTCATTTCCTGTTTTTACATAGGGAAGTTTTGTTTCAGGGCTTGCATGCATCGTGATCACATGTGAGCATAGTTCACTGAAAATATATTTTGGTATGGACTAGAAGTTACTGGGATCTTTCAGTGAACAGGATCATTCAGAACAGTTAACCCTCCCTATGCAAAAATCAATATATCTTGTAGCTGAACAAGTGCTACAGATTTATTTAAAAATATTGGTTTTTAGTGTCTGCAGGGCACTGCTGGTATAAATGGTAAATGCTGAATTTGTGCTCTTGCTTTACTGCTGTAAAGTACATACTGGTGTGAGTTCACTGATTTTTTAATTTCTTCTTTTTTTTTTTTTTAGTGTGTGTGTGCAGTTTAGCTGTAGACAAGAGCTAATAGTCTTTGACTTAACTAAGAGTATTTGCATTTGATTTTTTCTTGCTTGCTATGGTAAAGTACTGAAGTTGCTTATTTATGGAAAGAGTGTAAGACTGTTATATGTAGAACTGTGTTGTAGGATGAAATAGCTGTGCACAGATAGTTTTCAGGTTTGTAATCAATTTTCTGGGAATAGGAGATTAAATCAGTATTATTATCTTGCATTTAGCAGTTGAAAGGGTAATGCAGTAGAAAATTTTGGGGGAGCAGGAGGCCAGGACACAGAGGAGCTGATCTCTTTATCAAGTGAATTCCATATTTTAGGCAGACCTGTATGTTGCAAGTACTACTTTTTAAAGGGATTTTTGAGAAAAGTTTTTTATCAGAGTTGTTTTCTACTTACAGGTTTCATTCTTAGTCTCAATAATTTAAGTTAGATCTAGTATGCTGGGGTTTTTTGCACAGTATTTTCCATGTGTTCTGAATAAACTGGTGTTTTGCTGTGCAGTATTAAAATAATTTAATCTTGTAATGTCATTATGACTGAAGCTGGTGTTGAGAGTATTATTGTTTCAAAATACTGCTTCATTCTCCTAAAACCTCTCATCTGCCTTTTCATTATTAGTTTTTGTGGATTAGTTTGTGTTCTCTCTTTTCATGGTAATTATTTCCAACTTGTTAACTTTTCCTTCTGCTAATTGCTTTTTACTTGAAAGGCGCTTGGAGACCTAAATTATAATCATCCATGAAATTTTGATATTAGTGTGGATTGACATGCATTTGAGACTTAACAACTCTGTCCAGGTCTATTTGCTGTGACAAGAATAGTGTTTTATTATCCCTACCTTTCTCCAGTCATTCTAAGCTATGTGCTTCACTAAGAGTTCATGGCCAGGGTTCTTAGGGCTTAGTTCTGTGTTCATTTAAAACGTTCACCATATCTCATTCTCCAGACAGGGTTGGTGGGGGGAAAAGGGTGTTGTTCAAGAACAGAAGGCTAGTAAATCCTCTTTCTTGACAGGCAGATATTTTGCTTACTACCTTATAGGCAGTAAAAAAGGCTGGGAATCAGCTCATATGCCAGAAGGGGCTGAAGAAAGCAGAGTGAAAGTGGAAGACAAAGCACTGAATTTTCTTGATGTAGCAAGGTGGTGATGTGAATTTCAGAGGAGGATAAGAACAAGTCTAGTGGCATGTACTGCTATGTAGTATCTCAGGTATAAGGAATACCTCAGGTTAGGAACACCTTTTGAAGACATTCCTTAAATATCTATATAGATAGCTTCATTAAATGTTGTCTTAGTGTGCAGGAGTTAAGCAGTGAGGAATTTATTTTCAGTGTGTAGTAAGTGATTTTCTCAAACTGGTTTGCTCTGTCTGCTTTACTAGGCAGGTGTGGCTGAGAGGAACAGTGCTCTTGTGTGGATCTGCTTTGGGGAGCCTTCTTTGGTAAAAAAGCAGAAGTCTGTCTCCAGCTGATGAGGATCTGTGGACACATATCAACTCATTCAAGCTTTGAATCAGATTATGACCAATATTCAGACATTTCTGCCATGTTCTGTGTATACCTGGGTGTTCAGTTGAAGAATTTTAGGGAAAAATAGTCAATAGTCTGTGGTCTGCACTAAGGCTGTTACAAAAATTTGAGGATTTGTTTGGCTGATACTTCTGACACGTTTGAGATCAAAATGGTGCATTGTAAATTCAAATTGGTCCGTGAAGAATAGGTAAGATTTGACTATACTACAGGTGCTTTTTTATTCTTGTCAGTATAATAAACAAGTAGAAAGGGGTTTCACAATTGCCTCTCAACTGGCCAGTTCATTACTCAGGATATCTGTCATTAGGGATAAGATTGCTTGCTTCTGTATAGCTGCTTGTTTTTTTTCTGAAAACCAAAGAAATCTTTTATTTCTTTTCAGCTGTTTGTAGTACCCAGTAAGTGGGGAAGGTGCTTAAGTACTTTTGACTTGCATCCAGTAGAGGGCAGTTACATCCATAGGGGAAAAATCTGTTAATATTTGCCTGTATGTCTAAGTTTACTCCTTTCTGCAAGTATTGTTAATCTTTAAAATATTAATTCTTGATTCAAAGTATCACTTAAAAAGTAGGCAAAAATCTTTAGATATGGATGTGAACTAGCAGCCTTTACATGCTTGGTGTCTAGACTACTAAAAAGTGTGTGACAAAAGTTGCCCCTTGGAAAAAGACTCTCTGCATTTAGAGGAAAGCTAATTATAAAGGATACTGATGCTAAAGATATTCTGAATAGTTGACTCTTCCATGAGCATTCACAGATTCTTCATATTATAAATTTCCTGTATTAAGTAAGTGACCTGCTTACCTTTCTCAGCCAGCATTGCAAATAGTCTGTTTTAATTCTAACCCTTTTCAGCTTTAAAGGCAAAGGGTGATGCTTCTAAGTGTTTGGCAGTAATGCTTGTAAGAGTGGAAACAGACTTTAGATGTTAAACGTCAGCATCTTTTGTCAGGCTTTGTAATAAGCGCTACTCTTAGCATGAGATTTCCTGGAGGGTGCAGG